AGATCTGTCCCTAATGTACTTTCTAGAGGAGAGAGAACTATATATCTATCTATATTGCTGCAGACTGCCTAATACAGTGGGATCCCTCTTCTTACTCTCTGTTTGCTGACCAGCATCCCACTTGATTCCCTTCCTGAGGCACAAAAAATGAAGGGAACATTTGAAAGCATCTATATTGCCTGATACATGAGTGATAATGAAGTTGCATGGCAATTCACTGTTTCAAGCAGTAATCTTTTCAATCATACAACTTGCTGTCAAGTAAAGCTTGCTGCAGCTGGTGTTATGTTGTCAAAGCTGCTGCTTCATTAGAAAAATCTGTCTGTAGGATATCTACATGGATGGCTGAAGACTTTTGGACTGAAGCCTGAAGTATTCTCAAGACAGGTTGGCAGTTGTAGGCTGTGGATAGTGCAGATGTAATTTAAGCTGTGCACATGTGCAGAATGTCAAAAGCATTTGGTTTCCCAAAATCTGTTCACTTTTAATGGATGAGTATTATTCTTGACTCATTTTGAAAGGTTTGAAATGGTTTTGATCTAGCACTGTGATTATCAGCCTGCGATACAGAATCTCTTTTCCTTTATTACTGTGGGAAGAATCAGGGCTCTGAAGGGTTTTCCTGGCAGGCATTGCACTACATGTACAACAGAGGCATGAGTAATGCAACAAAGTTGATATTGAATTATTTAAAATGTTTTAAGATGAAATTGAGCTGTTGGTGACAGGAAATGGCTAAACCACACCTCTCCTTCCAGTGGATGGTATTTCCCTGGATCTAAGTGCAATGCGTAATGGATATTTTGAATCTAGGATTTCACTTGCCATGGTTGTATTATCTCAGCCATAGAAACCCTGGAGGTTCCAGTGCTCCCTTTACCTAAAAGGTAAAACAAAATAATATTCATCTGTAGCATTTCATGTTGTTTCTGGTTTTCCTGCAGGACGGAAGAGGTGCCAGCAGCTCAGCAAACTGCAAAGCCACAGACGCAAGCCAATGGAACAGGTAATCTTGGTCAGATCTCTACTAGCAGTTTGATTCACTTGGATTTTTTTACCCCTTTCTTTTGAACCTTAGAAGATCAAACCTTGCTGAAAAACGTGCTGGGTCCTTAAGCAGGCTTCTGAAGAAGCCAGATGTGAAGACCATTTTAGTAGCTTTTTACCTCACTGTATGTGATTGTGCATTTACTTTTTGTAGTTGACTTTGCACACCTGAGCAAGGAATTTATTGTGTATTGTAAAGCCTGTAGGATTCTAATGAAACTTGTTGCCCGATTTCATCGTTCTTGCATGCCTTGCTGATCCTTCACTTAGCAAAAAACAGGTGTAATACATACAAAAAATGTTCTATTTTGTTCTCAACTGCAAAAGCTCTTTTATGCTATTATCTGTATTACTGCTTCCTATTTCTGAAAGACAAGGCATTCTGGAAGAGGAGTAAGCTTAAGAGTTACTATTTTTTTGGACACCTACAGTGTCATCTACATTTCTCAAGCTGGTGCTTGTTATGAATTCAATAATATAGTGATTTCTGAAAGAACTGAAGCAACAGGTCTCAATCTTTTGGTACACTTAAGCTTTTCTCCCCACACTTGTTCATTGAGCTTTTAAATCTGCAGATTAAATTTGGAGTTGCTCCTCTTGAATTCCCATAACGTCAATACTTTGTTATGTGAACTACAGCCTGCCATTTTTTTCTGTCTTGTACACTCAGTTTCTTTCTCAGTACTTTTGGAAGTATCAGCATGTGGGATCTACTTCACAGGTTTTTAGTTTCAAAAAGCTGAAGTGTTGTCTCAGCTGTAAACTCTCACTAAATTCCTTGGTATTTTAGATGTCACTGCAATAGTATGATTCTGTTTTCTAAGCACCAGTTCCTTTTCCCCACATGCATAAAAGCCTCATTTTGGCTGTTGTAGTTGGCTGATTAATCTTTCATGCCTCTGTTTAATCATATCTTAAACTTACTGAGTTCTGTACAAACTTTGGTCCTTGAACAGTTGTGACCAGTGTCCTCCTTGTGACATTGCTGTATTGACTCATCTTGCCAAAGAACAGTCTCTCTATTCCTTCTAGACAGTGATTTTCTGGGTAAACTTTGAAGTTTTGTGCTCATTTGTGCTGCCTTAAGGCTTTTACCCTTATATTATTTCCATATACTTATATTTTTCCACTGAAACTGACATACAGAAAGTGTGGATCAGTTCATTACTTTGCCATATAAGACTTTCCAGGCAGTATTTTGACTGTATATTCCATGCATAGCAAGTGACATATACATTATCTAGAGATACAAATATATCTCTGTATACACACACATCCGCAATCTTTACAGCCTATCAACGGTAGGAAAGTGGTAATAAAAAAGTCTCTTACAGAATCTTGCTTAAGTTTCCACTTCCTTTTCCTGTCAAATTCATGTGGCTGCAGGGTGAGTGCCCTTCTCTCTGCTCAGGAATGTTTTGCTTTACATTGCTTTCCTCAAGGTGATCCTTCAGCACAATAGGAGTGCTGACATTTATGTCAGTCTTTTGTTTATAGCAACCTCTTAACCAGACAGTGTTTTTACAGTGTTTGCTAAAAATTCTCATTTGTTAGGGTATTTAAGTAATCTCTCTACTTCTGGTAATATGGTGCTTCCCTGTGCTGTGCTTAGAGCAAAGCAGGAGTCACCTTTTGTCTTATTTTACCAGCTTTGTGCAGTCAGGGTTTCTGTGCAATGGCAAAAGTAAATTGCAGAGCGAGTTTCCATGAAGAGAGTTGGTGAAGGACAGGAAAGCTGACAAAGTCTGTTTCCCAACAAAGCATGATGTGTGGGAACAGGGGCAAGCTTTGGATGAAGATGTTGTCTAGTATTATCCTGATACTTAGTGTTTCTTCTTTATAGATAAGCGTAGTCACACAGTCTGTTCGAGACTCCAGAAGTGGTTTTGTGACAAATTTGGGGAGTATGTTGAGGACTTCAGATTTCAGCCAGAGGAGAATACAGTGGAAACAGAAGAGCCTCTTAGTGCTAGAAGGTAAATCTTTAATGTGATTGAGAGAAATAATTGGCTACTTTACAAGTTGCTTTTTTCCCCATTTTTACTTATTTTTTACAACCGTTTATGTGGTTTGAGCATGGCAATAGAACTGAAAGTGTGGAACCATCTCAAAAGATTTGTGAATGCTTTGGCCACACCATGAAATTTGAAGCTCATCTGCTGTCTGAGGTAGAATAAGAGCTATTCTCACAACTCTCAAACCGTGGGCAAAGCCTTAGTTAGGCTGGAGAGCTTTTACACTTCAGTTTTTGGTCTGATGCAAGGTAGGCGGTATTACTTACTGAAAACACATTTCATAACAGGCAAGAATGAAGCTTTATGCACAAACATCTAATTTATAAGTGTCAGCAGTATTTCAATATCCCAAATGTACACAGCTGTGCACTACTGGCCTATTTAACAAATTACTTCTATCCATTATTTTTCAGGTTGACTGAAAATATGAGAAGATTAAGTAAGTACTTAGCAATATTTTATTTTCAGGAAGTAAAAATAGTTCTTAGTAACTCTATTAGGAAGATTGCTACATTTTAAAATACAGTGTTTTCAAATTGTTCTGACAGTTCACAAGCAGAAATTATTCTGAAAACCAGATACAGCGTTTGGAGTGCAAAGTAACTTAGAGGAGCAGGGGTAGAAGCTTGACTTTAATCTTGAATTACGTAGGGTATCTCTGAACTAAAAATGTAATGTTAATTAAAATGTGTAAACATGTAATGAATGAGAACAGGGTATTTTTCCAATGGCAAAAGTAATAGTGTTCATACACTTATGTCTGAGCTGCTTGTAGTTCACTTGCTAGTCTATTAGCTTATGCTTTCAAAGACAGAAGGGTCAGATGATGGATACAATGAGTGTGTCTTGCATTTCTTTCTCTTGGATAGCTGATAAATTACTTTGGAAAGTGGAAGATGCAAGATGACAGGTTAAACAAAGTAGTTAAGCCTTCCAGAAGGATTGCTAGCCTGAAAAAAAATCTATGTGGCTGATTTGTGCTACAAATTGTTAAATTAATATAGGGGAAAGGGTGAAGTTGAAATAAAGGTCTGTAATCTCTGTGTAAAGTCAGTTTTGTTCTCCTTATTCTAATACTGGTATTCATTCTAGTTTCATTTGGGGTAAAACGTCTGACCTGTTTTCTGTGGTGCATGTGCATTGCCTTAAGAATAGCTTTATGAAAAGCACTATTAAGCTTAGCTTTGAGTGGTTCTTAACTTCCTCTAGATGAGCTGCAGAATCTAGATCCCTGTTCTTCAGGGGTGCCTGACAGCCATCTGGACCTCTCAAGAACCTTATTGTCACCAGTGGTTTCCAAGTGTTGACCTTCCCTGCAGACTGGATGTAGGGTGGTGGAGCAGAGCAGGTGGAAGCAGGGCTTGAGTCTGTGACCTCCTCCAGCGCCCTGGGCATGCCCCTTCCACTTCATCTGCTGCTTTGGTTGTGCCTATGATGCTCAAGGAAGTCTAGTCCTACTTGTTTCATTACTTCCCATAGGACATGTATTGAGGATAGCTGAGTTTCAAGCCAAACGAACTAGGACAGGCTGTCTTGAGGAAAGCTTTTCAAAGTTGTGACCTGTACTGCAGATAAGGGTGGGTGCTTCTTGGGCCCCCTGTGCAAGAGGATTCATCAGTCTTCTCAGCAGGGAAGGCAGAATCAGTGTGTTCCAGCAGAGAAAGCAAAGGTCTTCATGCAGCAGTCCTTTCCTGTTTCCTTGTGTCCCCTAGCCAGTTTGCCCAAGTGGTAAAAGAGCTTAGAGGAATAGGGTAAGGTAGGGTAAAGGAAGGACAAGTGGGTTTTAGGGAGCTGAGGAATGGCTCCTCTTGCTGTCGCTGGCTGGTTGTGTGCATCTGTGTGTAGGAGTGATGCCTCTCCCATACAGTGGCCGTGAGAGCAAGGGTTTCTTGAGTTTCATTTTTCTTAATTTGGATAAGCTTTTTTATCATTACATGTCTTGAATATTCCTATTAATTTTCTAAATTGGTTGTTTGTCATTTACAAGTGATTTAACCGCTGCCAGCTGATTCTAACAGTTGTGGTTTTTCTCCGCTTCTGTTTAGAGAGAGGTGCCAAACCTGTTACTAATTTTGTGAAGAATCTTTCTGCCTTATCAGACTGGTATTCTATCTACACTTCTGCTATTGCCTTTATTGTAAGTTATCCTATTCCTCCAGGAGTAGTAAGAACTTCTTATATGTATGATTTACTGAAATTCATTGAAACTACCATATCTGACTAGGGGTTGTGCTACAGTTTGAAGTCAAATCAAATAGTGTAACTTCATTTAACACAAAATAGCAGTAGCTGTCATTTTGGTTGTATTTCAAAGATACTTATATTGTGGATTTGGGGTTTATTGTAGCATAGTTTTGTAACTGTTAAAATAACTTAGAATAATCTGGGCATTGTTCTCTCATTTCTTGTGTCCTGTCTCCCAGTCCTGTAATTTGATGGTTACTTCTGCCTGTGCAAAATCTCTTGCTGTCTAGGGCTGAAATGCTGATAGTGGCTATGTTTCATAAGAAGCTGTCATTTTCCACCAGTGCTCTTTGCCATTCATTAGGATCATACTAATGAGAGGCAAAATGCCTTGATTGGAGGATCATTTAATGTGCAAACATCAGGTCTGTGAGCTAAATTCAAGCATTCCCATGCTATTTAAGGAGGTTTGTGGGCACAGTGACATAACTATTCAGTGGAGTTTTAATTTGTTTTTCTTCTAACTGTTAATTAATGATCTGAATTATTTTGGTCATGGTGTATATGAAATATTTTGGTTGTCAAAGGAATTGCCAGTTGTTGTAGCTGGATGAACCTGTTTGGTGAAATGGCACACACCTTGTTGTTAAATGATCCCTCTGTGTAAGTTATAGAGCCTTATTTAATGCTACTTTGCACAGCACAGCTAAAGGAATATTGAAGAGGAGACTTCCCCCTCCTGTGCCCTGTGTCTGTCCCTTCTCCTAATCTGCTGGTTTTTCTCACTCTCCTGGCAAACCTATTCTTCAGATAAAAGCTGAAAGAATGAACTTCATCCACTGTTTAGAAAGTTCTGGGACCTTGGAGCTGGGGCAATGCTTCATTTTGGGGTTATCACTAAAAACAGTAATGCGTCTCAGCAGGGAGGCTGTAGTGTCTGTGTTTTCAGAACCTGGGAAGGGAACAGATTACCTTTTGAGGCACTTTATGTTTGTACTTGTTAGATAAAATAAAACCTATTTTCCTGCAATCTGTCTAAGCTTGGTAAAACATTTGGGATTTAATTGGCCTGAAATAATAGAGCGAGCATTTCTCCTGTTGCCCTCTATGGGGCTAACTGCTATAACCCTTCTACTATTCCATTGCTTCAGCTGCCAAAGGTGAGGTTAGACCATGTTGTGGTTACATAGCAGGCTCACAGACTTTAAGGTTTACTTTTTTTCCCTTACCCCTTCATGTGTTTGCAGTGTTGGAAGTATTCAATACTTATCTCAAGCAGTTGAGTACTAGTTAAGTGTCATCTCTAGAGATTTGGGTTTTGACTTTACATTCACGAATGCAGTGCTGCTCTCAGTCATGGGGTGGCTAAAATGTATTCATTTTTGTGATCTGAATTGTGTGATTCTGAACCCAACAGTACGGTGGGAAACGGTATTGCATGTATCTCACTGTACACCAGTTTGTAATCTGTGTTTCTCTTTGTTCTTTTTCTTCTTCTTAATTTACAGATTTACATGAATGCTGTATGGCATGGCTGGGCCATTCCTATGTTCTTATTTTTAGCAATTTTGAGGTTGTCCCTAAATTACCTCATAGCCAGGTATTTACTTAAGTACTAGATTATTGTCTTGTAATGCTTTGCTTGAAAGATGTTTTATTGTTCTTCCATTGAGTTTGTAAACTGTTAGCTTTTCTAATGTTGTGAGTTAAGTCTAACAAAGTAAAATTCAGACTTTAATATCCTTAATTTCATTGCTCAGTTTCTATAATTTTTGACTTTTTTAAGGAATTGGTTTTGTATCCTGTGAGTTGGGTCATCATAAATGATACTCTGTGTTCTCAAACAAATCTGTCAGCATGCTAAGACTCTAAAATAACATTCTGCAGCATTCAGAATAATCGGGGAATATCAGCTAAGTTATTGAATTATTATTATTAAATTAAAAATTAAAAGCCGTCTGCTTTACCATGGAGAGTTTTCACCTAGGCCTAAAATAGCAGTTTTGCCTTTTTCAGTAGATCTTGGCATTCTTTATTCAAAGTATCTTTCATTTGTAAATTCAGCCTCTATTAAACATTAAGACTTCCTTTTAAAATGTATGCTTTCTGTACTGAGAGGATCTTTTGAAAATGCTATTTAGGCTGATGGTGTTTTTCACCTTAATGGTGAAGAGGACTTTAATGTGCATGTTTTAAAGTAACTTTCTGACTTCTTAATTGATACTTACACTATGACTACGCTAATCTCTGAAAATTGCTGGTAGCAAATAGGTCCTGAATAAGTTGATGTAGTTTTACAAGAAAAACAAGAAAAAAATATTCATAATTAATTATTCTCTGCACACCATTCACTTCTGTTGTAAAACCACAAGTGCTGATTCTATGTAGTGTCTACCTAGCTAATTCTTTTCTTTAATGTATATACCTTTAAAGCCGTCTGTGGTTGGCCAGTTGTGATTTTTGTTGTTGCTTCTTCATGAATTTTGGGATTATTTCATTATTTTTTAAGTCATAAGGGCTAATTGCAGAAAACTACTTTTTAACCTCTTACAAATAATCCGTGTTGGCAGGTGGAGAAGAAGTACTTGCTTTCTTTAACTATTTCCATAACTTCTAGGGGTTGGAGAATACAGTGGAGCATTGTGCCTGAAGTTTCTGAACCCATGGTAGGTATTTGATCAGCTTGGCCTGTATGTCTGTGTCAAGAGTGACACCTTTCAAACCTTCCTCTGTGTTTATGTGGGTAGCTATGAAAGGGAGGAAGAGTGAGGTGCAAATAAAGACACTATATTCTTTTTTTTTTCTCTTGCAATTTAGGAATCTTAACTAAAGGTGCTCTTAGGTTTGGGTGTTTCACCCTAAACTTGAATTGCATTTCTGGAATCAATGTTAACATGCCAATCTGGGACAAGTTAGATCCTGTGGGATCTTCAAGAAGCCTAGCTTTCTCTTTTCTTTGTAATGTTTTGAACTTAATGTTTGCATACCCTACTTTAAGTAGGAAGGTTTCTAAGAGTTGATGTAAGATGGAGCTCTTTGAATTTCAGACCTTTTACTAAGACTTATGCCTTGCTTCCAGGGATAATTCTGTTACTCTTTAAAGGCCAATAACTTTTTAGATAAATAAATAAGTTCTAGATGTAGAGCTTCTAAAGGAAAAAAAAAAAAAGACATTTCTGTGCTAGACCAGAAATAGATCAGCTTAATCATAGAATTGCTTAGGTTGGAAAAGACCTTTAGGATCATCGAGTCCAACTGTTAACACTGCCGAGTCCACCACTAAACCATGTCCCCAAGTGCCACATCTAAGCACCTTTTAAATACCTCCATGGATGATGACTCTACCACTTCCCTGGGGAGCCTGTGCCAGTGCTTGACAACCCTTTCTGTGATAATATTCAATCTAAACCTCCCCTGGTGCAACTTGAGGACATTTCTTCTTGTCCTGTTGCTTGTTACTTGGAGAAGAGACCAACCCCCACATCAATACAACCTCCTTTCAGGTAGTTGTAGAGAGCGATAAGGTCCCTCCTGAGCCTCTTCTTCTCCAGACTAAACAACCCCAGGTACCTCAGCAATTCCTCATCAGACTTGTGCTCCAGACCCTTCACCACCTCCATTGCCCTTCTCTGGACCCGCTCCAACATCTCAAGGTCTCTCTTGCAGTGAGGGCCCCAAAACTTGAGCACAGGATTCGAGGTGCGGCCTCACCAATGCCCAGTACAGGGGATGATCACTGCCCTGGCTCTGCTGGCTGCACTATTTCTGGTACAATCCATGTTGCCCATCTGGGCACAAGCTGGCTCATGGTCATCCAGCTGTTGACCAACACCTCCAGGTCCTTTTCCATCAGCAGCTTTCCAGCCACTCTTCCCCAAGCCTGAAGCACTGCATGGGGCTGTTGTGGCCCAAGTGCAGGGCCCATCACTTTGCCTTGTTGAACCTCACACAACTGGCCTTGGCATGTCAATCCAGCTTGTCCAGATCCCTCAGCAGAGCCTTCCTACCCTCCAGCAGATCAAAACTCCCACCCAGCTTGGTGTTGTCTGCAAAAGTACTTTATCCCCTCACCCAGATCACTGATACGGACAT